GTCGGGGGTCCGCCTCTTCGACTGCGCCAACCAGTGACCCCGCTGCTGCCTCGCGCGGGACGGCAGGGAGGCTGTGGAGGAGGGCATGGAGGAGCACCGATGCTGATGCTGATGCTGCTGCTGAAGATGAAGATGAAGATGATGATGAAGATGATGATGATGATGATGATGATGATGATGATGATGATGATGATGATGATGATGATGATGATGATGATGATGATGATGATGATGATGATGATGATGATGATGATGATGACGGTGTTGATGATGGAAATGATGCTGATGCTGATGCTGATGACGACAACTACTGTGAGGCTGATGATGCTGATGATGATGATGATGCTGATGCTGCTGCTGATGATGATGATGCTGGTGGTGGTGATGATGGTGGCGATCACGGCGACGACGAGACTTGAGATGAGGATGCTTAGTGATGCCCCCGAGGTAGCATATTCAGATGGATAAAGACATTCCGAGGACCTTCATGATGACGATGACGATGACGATGATGGCGCTGATGACGACGACGATGACCAGGACGAGGATGATGATGATGATGATGATGATGATGATGATGATGATGATGATGATGATGATGATTATCATTATAATTAGTATTATTAGGATGGTTCTGACGATGATGATGCTGAATATTATGTTGCTGCTGCTGCTGCTGATGATGATGATGATGATGATGATGATGCTGGAGATGCGGCTTCTGATGATGATGATGGTGATGACGATGGTGGTGATGGTGATTACGATGACGATGATGGCATTGATGATGATGATGATGATGTACGGGTCGCGATTCCGAGCCAGGCCTCAGGAGGCAGAGAAAGCGGGAAGTCCAGCGGTTGCGTTTTGTTTGTTTGTTTGTATTTGTGGAGGTAGGAGGAGGAGACGGAGGAGGAGGAGACGGAATAGCCATACCTCTGACGACTCGATGTGTCCGAGTCCCAGAGCCCTAGACGTCTCGACTCCTTTCCTTGGACTGTCGAATTTTTATCCCGAGTAGGTTTCCATGGCCGTTGAGTCTGAAAACGGCTCACGGTCTGCGAAAACTTTCAACCTAAGCAGGCTCGAGATGCGCCAGATTCTGGAAGTCTGGAGAGGAGGGTGACCACTCGCGGTCTCCAGAGAGGTCTACCAAAGGTCCCCAGAAGACTCTGAAGGCCTGGGGAAGGGACAAACACATACAGATGTAACGCCAAAGCATCCGAACGCCTTCCTCCTCGATCCTTGAGGGCCCAGAGCAAAGCTTAACATGCCGACGACGTCGACGACTACGTCGACGGCGAAGACGTCGACGTCGACGTTGCTCGCTGCGCTGGGCCCGCCAGGGTGCTCCGGTACCCTCGCCCGGGGCCCGCAACGCTGCCCGCCTGCCTGGCTATTCCGTGGTTGGCACCGCGGGCCGCCGTCACGCCAGATCCCCCACGGAGCGGTGCCTGTGCCACGGCGACAACGGCGACGACGACGGCGTCGACCACGACGACCACGTTGATGGCGGCGGCGACAGGCGACATCGACAGCGATGACGACGACGACGGCGACGACGACGACGATGACCATGACTACGACGACGACGATGCTGACGCCTCTGACGGGGACGACAGCGTCGGCGACGGTGACGAAGAAGACGTTGACGATGACGTCGGTGAGCTTCAAACGGCGACGACGACAACGACGACGAAGGCGACGACGACGATGACAACGACGGCGATGGAGAAGACGACCGCGACGACGATTACGACGACGACTTCGACCACGACTTCGATCACGGCGACGCAAACGTCTACGACGATGACTACGACTGTGACGATGACGCTGACAGTGAGGACAACGACGACGACAACGACAACAGTGACGACGACGATGACGGTGACGACGACAGTTGGCACTGCGGGCCGCCGTAACGCCAGGTTCCCCTCGAAGCGGTGCATTTTCTTCCACGGCGACGACGACGTCTACGACGACGACGCTGATGTCGACGGCGACAGCGACGACGACGACGACGATGACCATGGCGACGACGCTGACGCCTTTGACGAGGACGACGACCTCGGCGATGGTGACGACGACGACAACGTTGACGACGACGACGTCGATGACTTCGACAACGACGACGACAACAACGACAACGATGACGACGACAAAGACGGCAAAGACGACGTCGACAACGACTACGATGACGGTGACGACTACGACGCCGACGACGACGACGATGTCGACGACGACGGAGACGACGACGACAACGACGACTTCGACCACGGCGAGGCAAACGTCTACGACGACCACGATCACATTGACGACGACTGCGACGACAGCGACGCTGACAGTGACGACAACGAGGACCATCATTTTAAGACTGTTCGCTCTTACTGGCACGCGTGTCCTGCATTTCGTATCCCCCAACCCTCGATACCCGCCCACTTCGTCTTCGATGGCGCCCCCTTTCGGGGGGAATCTTGTCCTTGTCGGCCACTGACTGAAG